TTCCGCCCCGAAGAAGGTACAATGTAAACATGATACGGTACGTGATAATCATTGGTAATCATTGAAGGATTGCACGCAGAGGCCTTGTCCACCTCTTGGAAGCTAAGCCCGCAGCCTGAAGAAACAGTGGTTTTGACTGGTTGATAAAGAGCTTCATTGGACCGAACATCTCTCCTAGTAGCGTCCTTGCTCCTAGTAGTAAGGCCAGGCGCCCCTAGTAGCGTCCTATCCCAATGGAGGCCCTGCAAAAGTGGCGGAGAACTTTGATGGGATCAAGTTCCATCGAGTCATTGACAACAAGAGCCTCGACAAGTTCTATCCTGCCAAGTGGAGTGGGACCGAGTGAATTCGGCCGGCACCAACTGAGGGATTTTGTGGGTCATCCATGGGATGAAGAGTGAACGGACTTGTTGCCAAGGAGGTTGGTTTATGGCATCTTGGACTTCGTACAAGATTCAACAGCCCCTATAAATCATCCCATCGTGTAGATAGGTCAAAGCGAATAGAGTTATGAAGCATGTTGGTCTTGCCGGGTTAAAGTTCATGTAGTTTCTCCAGACAACAAAGCATGGACACCATGAACACATGCCCGTCAATACAACACTGCAAGAAGTTGCGAAGATTCAAACCTAACCCCAAATGGACTGCAATTCAGACTCCTTTGTTTTGTGCCGGGATGCATCTTTTGTTGTATATCAATCCTGTGGGACGTTGTCCACAAGTGAGCCAGGAAGCTGTCGCTTGATGCGGATTCCTTCTGGGTGCATCTGAATTATCAGCTCATTCACTTGATGGACTTCCTCCCCATCGCAGACTGGCAAGCAAGGTCTGGCTGTGTAGCCCAATACCATCACATTCAACATTGCAAGTAATTACAGTAGTCCGCATATGTTTTGCAGTGTCATTTAAGGTGAAGTATTGTATACCCTTGTGTAGGTGTCCCTAGTGTCCCCTTTGCAAGGTGTGACAGCCTCCTATAGCACTGAACAGAGACACATGTATGATGACTCGCAAGAAGTGAAGTCTGCAATGCTACAGGATGTTACAGGCTTTGTTGTGAGATGGGCATGAGGGAGGTTGTATGATTTGTTCACACTGAAGAGAGAGTTTATTGAACGTCCCGCTTCCGCAGAATGGACGACACGTACATGGACTTGTTCCTGGTGCTTTTTGAGTTCATGAAAGATGCTGGGAAACTGCAAGTGCCTTGGCAATCAACAGAACCCGAACTGTGCTAGTTAGATATTCTGTGACATAATGATACACAATGTGATATCACGTTCATAGTGTGACAGTGTTCCAACAGTTTTTGGCCCTGTTTGTGTCGTATCCCGTCCAACTCAGCTGGCCCTTCGTCGACCTGAGGCGCATGTCGACCTGGATCTCGGTCCTGTGGAGAATCCCACCGGGAACAGCACGCCTACCACGCTGGTAGGCCCGATAGAGGGCAGAGGTAGGGCCATGGTAGGGCCATGTCGGGGTGAGGCAGAAGGCCTTTTGATTCATATGTGTATTCCACAGTACTATGTTCTACTGCTGTGTGAGAAGCCGGAGAGAATTCCACAGAATTCCTGATTGAAAGTCTTGGTGTCGATACCTAAGTTGCACTTGCCTGGCGCAGAACTCATGTCTCTCTCCACAGCGGTTTTGTGTCCCATTCAGTTTGGGTCGAGAGGCTTCCTCATGAACCGTGTGGTCCCTTCCAGCTTGAAGCGACGGGTGCGGAAGAAGGAGATCGTGAAGTACTCCACCGAAGTTGGACCGGATCCGGGGGATGACTGCCAAACACCTGGCTATTAAATGTGAGGAGGTTTGTTGGAGGCAAATCAGTGGAGATTGCATGGGGAGCAGTTGATGTTATATAGTCATATAGTTGGATATGTTTCAAGACGTCACTGTGCTGCCGACTCATCAATCTTAAGTGGGGAGTGATTTGTCTTTGGCATTCTTGGATGTCTGTAGAGTGTAGGTTGCTCAGGTGTTTTGCCGCGCGCTGATGATGATGTACGATTTCTGCAGGACACAGCTTGGACTACGAGATCCTTTGGAAGGGCAACTCTAATTTGTGAATCAGTAGGTAGAGAGCAAGCAGCAAAGATGTGCTGGACACCGAACGTGTGAGCCCTTGAATCCCACTGGCTTGATGAATGAGGATGGTGTACTGACGGTTTAAGGAAATTGTCTAACGGTTAGACTCTCCCATCTCTCCCTTCCCGCAGTTTTGACCACAATTGATCTGGTTTCTCACAAGCTCTCACCATGACTTGACCAAGTGTAGCACATCAACTCAGAATCATTTGAATCGCCTGGATTGCCAATAACACATCGTCAATTTCAATTCTTCGATGGTCGGATTTGGATCTGCATGTCAGAAGAAGCAACAGGAGCTACAGAGGAATGTCCAATAAGCGACAGAAGGTGTCCTGATCAGGGCTCACATGCGTAGAAGGAGCGGCAAGCTCTTGGTTTGCCCTTCTTTGTTTAGCCCACTCAGGTGAAACCGGGTGTGGTTTGTGCCCTGTCTTTCCGCCCAGTGTGTCGGGTGAGAAATCGCTTCTACGTGATGTACTCTAGTTCTAAGGTAATGGCAGCTGATTTCTCGGCTTGTTGAGGTTGTGAGCCCCTTTTCGGTGCCTGGAATGATCAAAACATTGTAGTCTACATCATTGATCATGGATATGCAGCCAGCATGTGGCCACCAACAACACATACAGCCATGGCACGTGGCAAGTGGCGCTCTTGTCAGGCTTCAATGAAGGAATGTGAGCATGAGCCCGGATGCTGAGGTCATGGACATGGTTGTTAGGGGGAGTGCTATGACAAAGTCATCACGTGTCCCGAAAACATATTCTGTGCACCTGTTGGCTTATATGGCTAGTGGCGTGTGGACTCGTGGGGGTGGTGGCATTTGCTTGTGAACCACAGACAAGAAATATTGGCATTTTTCAAAACTGGTCACACATCACACAAGTTCAGCAACCTGCAAGCCAATAGGAGAGGCCGGGCAACTTGCTTTCACAAGTAGAAATATATTCCTAGCTGCTCAGCAGGGAGCTGAGGAGCCGGGGGTATCCATATTCCCCATTAAACAGGGAGCTCAGGAGCTACAGGGAGTTCCCCAACCCCTTTGCTAGATTCACGTTCTTTCTGTGATGCAATGGCAAGAGTCGACACTATAACTAGCCATTGCGGTATTCCAAGGTCCAGCAATCGATGAAGTGTGTTTGCGATTTCGTAATCAAAGTGCACATGATTCTATGGAGTGTGTTCTTTTGCCAATGAGCAAGGTCCAAAACCTTTTGCTACATGTGCAGTAGGAGGTGCACATCATTGGGTGACATGGATGTGCTCTTTGTGGACATACAGATGTTCCACACCGAAGCTTTCAATGGGGTCTCGGCGGCCTTGGCCTTCAGAGCCCAAGGCCTTCAGAGCTGGGCAGCAATGTCTCAAAGATGCCCCAGCGTGTGAAAGGTGGGGTGCTCCGTGCCGGCCTCATCGGCGCTGTGAGAAGGTGAAGAGGCGTTCAGAGGAGTATTCTTTGCAGGATGTTAGTCTAAATCAGATTAAATATACAAAGTTCAAACATTTATACTGTGTACTCATGACGTAGGAGTTAGCGGAGGTACACCAAGAACCATGAGTCCTATCTCATGTGGAAAGGTACTTTTGGACAATTTGTTCATACATAACTCCTAGCTCATGAGCCTTGGGCAGTGAACAAACATGACATCTTATGTCCGAGAACCTGTTCCGACAATTGTGAGATGGGACTTCCAGGCAAGCTTCCCCTACGTGTTTCCAATCTCTTTCATTCTATATAGGGCATGTCCACCATCCCAATACACATGAGTTCAATAACAGTTAGGAGTGAACCCAGGCAAGTCCCAAGTCATCCGACCACCAAAGTCCTATCTTATTTATACCAGTATATATACAGGAACAAAGTCGGATTCAGAAACTGCACTGTATTCAGAAACTATTTCGTTGTATTCAGAAACTCTTGTATTCAGAAACTGTTTCGTTGTATTCAGAAACTCTTGTATTCAGAAACTATTTCGTCGTATTCAGAAACTATTTCGTCGTATTCAGAAACTCTTTTCATCGTATTCGGAATTCTTTCGTCGTATTCAAAAACTCTTTTCGTCGTATTCAGAAACTATTTCGTCGTATTCAGAAACTCTTTTC